GGACGTATGGTAACCCTAGATACAAATCATGCATGCACAGTGCATAAAATGTACACAACCCCTTGCATATTGCTAATGCATAGCCAGTGCAGGGAAGGCAGAGAATGCATTAACTTAACCAGTGCTTGCCAAGTGCTCGGTTCATGAAATGCAGAAAATACATTTTCTGAACCTGTTCTGCGATGAGATGCATGAGATAAAATCCTTCATTCATAGTGCATGAAATGAACACACCCACATGCATGTTGCTAATGCATGGCCTGTGCAGGTGAGGCAGTGAAGGCATTAACTGATTTGGTGCTTGCATGGGATTGGTTCATGCGTGCAGAGTGTGAAACACACCCAATCCCACGCCTTTTGCTAGTACACGCCTGATACAGGAAATGCATTTGCATGGAGGGTGGGGGAAACGAGGCCTGGGGCAGCCCATGCAATCAGCTCAGCAGGGTGGATGCAAATCTCTGCCTGGTGTCTCTGCCTTGCTTCTCACTCAGCATCACAAGACTCCAGCCACCCACCGGACCAAAGGTGACCAGGACAGGGCTGACACAGCACAGGCACCGGAGGAGCTGCACTACGCCTCCATTGAATTCTCCAAGCCGCAACGCAAAGCGGGGGAGCCTTCAGAGTCCCTAGGCATGGAATATTCCAAGGTCCGGCGGAAATAGCCCCCTCACACCATGGGCCCAGGCTGGGTGTCTCCGGCCCATCCAGTGCAGGGGGATCACAGTGTGGAGGGAAGGGGGAAGGGGTTGGCCCAGGGCTGGACCTGCGACGTGGGAAACCTGGGTGCAAATCCCTGCTCTGGCCTGGACTCAACTAGGCCTTGGAGATGCTGGAGCACTGCATTGAGGGGAGGTATCCCAGAGTCCTCTGCAGCTGGGTCTCAAAGCCTGCCCCTTCCCAAACCCCACTGCCCCCAGAGGAAAGAGCCTCTCACCCCTCAGCCAGAGAGTCTCTCTTCTACCCTGCCTGAGCCCTCATCAACTTCTTTCACAGATGGACAGGATTTTCAAGCTCAGGGGCAGCAGCTGGTGGGAGTGGAGGGATGGGCTTGTGTTTAAGCTGCTGGCTGGGTACTCTGAGTTCTAATCTCTGCCTCACTAGAAATGCTGTACGGTGAGGTTGGGAGAGGTTGCTGCATCTGTCTAGTCTCAGTTTCCTTACCCCAAAAATCAGCATAATAATGGTGCCCTGGGTTACTTACATTATAAACTCTTAGGGGCAGGGATGGTCTCTCCCTGTGTCTGGGCAGCACCTGGCACAACAGGGCCCTGGTCTCTGTCTAGGTCAATCAGTGCCACGTGATTATAACTTCTTAATAACAATGTTCTATTGAAGGTAACTTGTTCACTCCAAAGCCAAAAACAGCCGACTGTAAAATTCCCTGTTTACAAACTGTTACTTGAAATAGATTTTCATGTGTCATTTTTTGTCACTGCTACTTTTTCAAAAAAGAGCCAATTACAAGTATGACTTATTTGTGTCCAGTAAAGAATCAGTTTTCACTTCTGTCTTTCCCCTGGAAGGCCCTGATTGCAGCTGGTTTCTGGGCTGGGCCGGGCATAACACGGCCCCAATTCCAGCTGGGGCGAGGCCTGTCTCTCACTGTGTCTGAGCAGCACCTGGGACAATGGGGCCCTTGTCATAAACATACAGCTAAGGGGAGCATAAAATCCATCCTTTACCTCCAAGGGGTTAAGAAGCTCAAATAACCTGGTTGGCACCTGACCAGAAGGACCAATGGGGAAGGAAGATACTTCCAAATCTGTGGGGGGAGGGAAGATTTTGTTTGTGCTCTTTTGTGTCTGCTCTCTCGGGATGGAGAGGGACCAGGGCAGGAAAAAAACCTCTCCTAAAACCCTACCTGAAATAAGCATTAAAGGTTACAAAAATTGTAAGTAAAGCAAGGAAATGTGTTAGATTATCTTTTGTTGTAGCTTGTGAATTTTCCCTATGCTAGGATTACCATATGTCCGGATTTCCCCAGACATGTCCGGCTTTTTGGTGCTCAAATCCCCGTCCAGGTGGAATTTTCAAAAACCCGGACATGTCCAGGAAATAGGGAGGCATAAACCAGGGTCAGCCCGGCCCCAGCATGATCCGCTGGGTCCGCAGTGCAGCCCAGCCGCCCCGGCTACATTGTAGAGAGCTCGGGCATGGGAGGGAGTGCCACTGCTGCCCCCACAGGCCAGGCAGACCGCGCGCCCCAGCTGAGCCCGCAGGATCATGGGGAGGCCGGGCCCAGCCAGCAGCTCGGGCTTCCCTTGCAGGCGGGGACCCCACGGCCACTGGGGGACCCTTCCTGTGGCCCCATCGCCCCATGTGTCTCAGAACTGGTGCTGCAGGAGCTGTTCCAGGTGTGACAGGCCGGGGAACGTGCTCGGCGGCGGTGGGGAGTGTGGTGTGTGCTGGGGCTGCAGGGACCTGCGCCTCACCAGTCGCCGCAGAGCCTCCGAAGCCCCCGCCAGGCAGAGGCTGCCAGGGGAGTGGGGGAGCAGGGCAGGCGGGGGGGGTGCAGAGGCTGCAGGGTGAGGAGGAGCAGGGCAAGTAGGGGCATAGAAGCTGCAGAGGCAGGGGGCTCAGGGGCAGGGCATGCGGGGGCGGTGGGGGGACAAGTGGGGAGCAGGGGTCACAGAGGCTGCAGGGGCGGGGGGGTGCAGGGGTTCCAGGGGGAGTGGGGAGCAGGGATGACAGAGGCTGCAGGGCAAGGGGGGTGCAGAGGCTGCAGGGCGAGTGGGAAGCAGGAGTCACAGAGG